TATATATATATATATATATATATATATATATATTATTATATATATATTATAATATATATATATATATGCATATATACTGATAATAAATAATAATAATAATGATGATGATGAACATACAAAATATATAATAACAATGATGCTGATGATGACGTAATAAAATAATCACAATAATAATAATAATCTGATGGGGAAGGCTATCTATTTATCAATCTATCAGCATTTTTGGTGTTCATGCTTAAGCCAAGGTGATAAAGATACTACCGATAAGGAGAGAGCCAACACAAAATAAAGCAAAGTAAAATAAACATAATACTAATAAGACAACGATAACATATAAGCGGTAAACAATCCCTGGCTCTGACAAGATGCAATTAAGAGAGAAAAATATCATAAAAAATACATCCAATTTACAATAATTAAAGGAAGAGAGTGAAGACACTGATAACAACAACAATGACGTCATCACAGGAACTTGCCTGCTAAAACTAACTTACCTTCGCGGTCTCGTCTCACTATACAACACGACACTAGACCTTATATGGTGTCTAGGTCAGCCGGACTACTCTCCCCCCCCCCCGCCTCACCCCCCAAAAAAAAGAGAGAGAAAGAGAGAAAGAGAAAGAGAGAGGAGAGGAGAGAGAGAGAGAGAGAGAGAGAGAGAGAGAGAGAGAGAGAGAGAGAGAGAGAGAGAGAGAGAGGGAGGTAATGAGAGAGAGAGAGGTAATGAGAAAGAGACAGAGACAGAGACAGAGTGTGTGTGTGTGTGTGTGTGTGTGTGTGTGTGAGAGAGAGAGAGACAGAGAGAGAGAGAGAGAGAGAGAGAGAGAGAGAGAACTTTTATTTGGAGACTGACAAGGTTACGACGTTAAGCATCTTACATAGATTTCTTGCTCTTACCTTCCTCATCGAGTTTACATACTCAAGATATTTTTTTCTCTATCTCTGCTTCCCTCCTCTCTCTCTCTCTCTCTCTCTCTTCTCTCTCTCTCTCTCTCTCTCTCTCTCTCTCTCTCTCTCTCTTATCTTTCTCTGTCTTCCTGTCTGCCTCTGTCTCTCTCTCTTTGTTTCTGTCTATCTGTCTGTCTCCTTTTTTGTCTAATTGTCTGTCTATGTCTGTCTGTCTCTGTCGAGGATCTGTTTGTGTTTGTTTGTTTTTCTGCCTGCATTTCTGTCGTTCGGTCGGTCTCTCTGTCTCTTTCTCTCTCTCCATTCCCTTCTCCTTTTCCTACCCCCCTCTCCCTCTCTCCTTCTCCTCCCCCCCCTCCTCCCTCTCCCCTTCTCCTCCCCCCCTCTCCCTCTCTCCTTCTCCTCCCCCCTCTCCTCTCCCCTTCTCCTCCCCCCCTCTCCCTCTCCCTTCTCCTCCCTCCTTCTCCTTCTCCTCCCCCCCTCTCCCTCTCCCCTTCTCCTCCCCCCCTCTCCCTCTCCCCTTCTCCTTCTCCTTCTCCTTCTCCTTCCCCCCCTCCCCCTCTCCCTCTCTCTTTTTTTACCAAGAAGGAAGAGAGAGGGAGAGCATGTTTACCCAAGACATACAAACACGAAGAACTTGATGACGTCCACACAGGCGATGTTTGCCAATGTTTATCCTGCAAGACCGATGTTTGCCAAAAAACATCTTGGTAGAATTAGAATTTGCTAATGACATTTTTTTTTTCTCTTTCTTTCTTTCTTTCTTTTAAAGAAACTTGTCGACTTGGTATTTTTTTTTTCTTTTTTTTTTTCTGTCTTTGAGAGTCGAAGGCTTATTTAAGTTTCCTTTGTATCTTTTTTTGTTTTTTTTTTGTTTTAGTTCCCCCTTCGCTCCCTCCCTCCCCCACCCCCTCCCTCTTAGTCTCTTCTTGGTCCTTCTTTCATCTCCCTTTCGCCTTTCCAATATTCTTCTAATTCCTCCCTTATTCCGCATTCCATTCTCTTTATCATCTTCTGCATCATTCTCTTATTCCTATCTCTCCCTTTTCCTCCTCCTCCTCCTCCTCCTTCTCTTCGCCAATGTCATCCTCTTCCCTCTCACTCTTCGCGTCCCTCTTCTTCCCCTCCTTTTTCACCGTTTTTTCTTACTTCCTTTCTTTTTCTCCTTCTTCTCCTTCTCCTCCTTCTTCTTCTTCTTCTTCTTCTTCTTCTTCTTCTTCTTCTTCTTCTTCCACCCCCCCTTTCCTTCCTCCTCCCTCCTCCTTCCCTCCACCTTGCTCCTCTCCTCCATTCCCCTCCCCCCTCCCCCTTGCTCCTCCCTCCTTCCACTCCCCCCCTCCTCCTCCTCCCCCCCCTCCCCCTTGCTTCTCCTCCACGCCCTTCTTCGGAAAAGTGATAAGCATGAACTGCGCGTCCTTTCTGCCTTGCGTGTCCAATGACCCCGCCCCTCGCCCCGCCCCCTCTCTACCCCCTCCCCCTCTCTACCCCTCCCCCTCCTCCCTCCCCTTCTCCCTCCTTACCTGTCTACGCTCCGAAGGTGTTTGATTTTTTCCTTTTAACTTTTCTTTGTCATCGTCAAACAAAAACATTTTTTCTTTTTTTTAAGTATTCATCAGGGGTATCTTTTTCTTTTATTAAATCGATCAGTTTGTTTTATCCACTGATGTTTTGTTGTTGTTGTTGTTGTTGTTGTTGTTGTTGTTGTTCTTG